GTGGAGAACGAGGGAGAGTGGGAGGAAGGAAGGGGGAGGGACGAAGGAAGAGGGAAAACGCCAGGAGAGAAGGAGCGAAGAGGGGGACGGTTGATTAGAGGCAGAGAGAGAGAGAGAGAGAAAAACAAAAACAAAAAAAAAAGAGAGAGAGAGAGGTAGAGAAAGAGAGAAAGAGAGAGAGAGAGAGAGAGGGGAGAGAGAGAGAGAGAGAGAAAGAGAGAAAGAGAAAGCAAGAGGGAGGGAGGAGGCAGGAGAGGGGAGGGAGAAGGGAAGAGGGAGAGGAAGGAGAGGGATAGGGCAGAGAGGCATAAAGATGAGGGAAGAAATGAGGGAGAGAGAAGGGAGGAGAGGAGGGAGAAGGGAGGAGGGAGAGGGAGGAGGAGGAGCAGGAAGGTAAGAGCGTGAACTTTCGAGGAAGTCCTAGGCGAAAGCGCCGTTCCTGAAAGAAGTCTCGGGCGGGAGCTCACGACGGGCGGGCGATCCCCTGACGGGCGGGTCGGGCGGGTGGGACGTTCACGCGGGATGCCTGAGTATGGCGAGAGCGCGATCACTAAGTAGATTGTAACGGCGTCCTTGGCGCAGCGTGTTTCCTGAGCGTCGAAAGCGCGATTTCTGAATAAATTGTATGGAAGTCACAGGCGAGAGCGCAATTCCTAGATAAAATGTGAAGAGTTCTCTGGCGGGAGCGGGGTCTTGATTAAATTGCGAGGAAGTCTTGATTCAATCGCGAGTGAGTCTCAAGCGGGAGCGCCGTTCCTGAGTAAATTGTGAGGAAGTCTCAGATGGGAGCGGAGGTCCTGACTAAATTGCGAGGAAATCACAAGCGGGAGCGCTGATCCTGAGTAAATTGTGAAGAAGTCTCAAGAGCGGGGGTCCTGAGTAAATTTGGAGGAAGTCACAGGCGGGAGCCGTTGTTGTTGTACTCCTCCGGGGGCCAGGGGCCCAGTTTGAGCACCAAGACTTCCCCTGTCAAAAAACAAGGTGCGAGCGTCAAGGGGCACACTTCGATTGAGAAAAAACAGTATGCACCGGAGAGGGGGATCAACCATTATTATTCTTCATAAGTGAGAGCTCAACAACAACAGCAACAGCAACAGCAACAGCAACAGCAACAGCAACAGCAACAGCAACAACAACAACAACAATAACGACAACAACGACGACAACGACAACGACAACGACAACGACAACGACAACGACAACAACAACAACAACAACAACAACAACAACAACAACAACAACAACCACAACGGCAACAACAACAACCACAACAGCAACAAAAACAACAACAACAACAACTAACCAACCACAGCCATTATAATAACAACTGCAACAACAACAACAACCACAACAACAACAACAACAACAACAACAACAACAACAACAACAACAACAACGACAACATCACCAACAACAGCAACAGCAACAACAACAGCAACAACGGCAGTAACAACAACTATAACAAAAACGTGTTAACAACCAAAAAAGACTGTTCACTCGTATCCGCTGGCGTGCCATTCAACACGTAAATCCCACACCCTCGGTACCCGCCCTCTTCGTCTTCGATCGTATCCCCTTGGGGGTATACCTTTCTTACCTGCAACGTGTATTTCGTGCAGCCCCTACGGCAGGGGAAGAGAGGACGGATGGAAGGAAGGGACAAGGGGGAAAGAGGAGGATGGAGCACGAGAGGAAGTGGCAGGAGGGGGGCTAGGAGCAGAAAGCACGTGGCAGAACCACACGGGCAGATCGGTCGGATGGACCCTAACGGGCGGGTCGAGAAGACGGGCCCAGGCGACCAGGTCGAGCAGGCGGGTTGCTGAAGGGTGCGTCCTGCACGAATCGCGATCGAGTGTCGAGCGATAGCGTGATTCCCAAGTAAATAATCCACAGCGAGAGCGTTATTCCTGAGTGTCGAGGGCGCGGCGCCTGAATTAATTACGAGGAAGTCCCACGCGAGAGCGCGATTCTTGCATAATTTGCGAGGACCTCCCGCGCGAGAGCGCGATTTGGAAATATGATACCGGAAAAAAACCGGACTATAAGGCTATAGGGCTATAAGGCTCTGGGGCTATAGGGCTGCAGGGCTATACTATGGCCCTGTAGCCCTATAGCCCCAGAGCCTTATAGTATAGGGCTATAAGGCTATAAGTATAGGGCTATAGGGCTATAGGGCTATAAGTCTCTGGGGCTACAGGGCTATAGGGCTATATATGGCTATAGGGATATAGGGCTATAAGGCGATAATGCTCTGGGGCTATAGGGCTATAGGGTATAGGGTTATAGGGCTATAGGGCTATTAGGGCTATTAGGGCTATAGGGCTATAGGGCTATACGGGTAGAGGGCTATAGAGCTATAAGGCTATAAAGCTATAGGGCTATAGGGCTATAGGGCTACCCGGCACCTGAGCACCCGGGCACCCGGGCACCTGGGCACCCCGACGCCCGGGCCCCGGGCACCCCGGCACCCGGGCGTGCCGCCGAAATCGGCGCCACAGCTAACCTAACCAAATGAACCCGCTAGGACCCCTACAGAGGCAAGCTCTGCTTGGAGAAAATTGTGAGGAAGTATCAAGCGGAAGCCGTTGCTGTTGTAACTCGGGGGCCAGCGGCCCAATTCTGAGACCCAAGACTTTCCCGGATAAAAAACATGGTCAGAGCCCTGGGAAAGGCACTTCAATTGAAAATACTACAATGTGCCCCAGAGGGGGGATTAACAACTGTTATTCTTCAGTCGTGAAAACTCAACAACAGCATCAACAACAACAAGCATCTTAAGACTGCTCGATCTTATCTGCCCGAATGTCATTCAACGTGAATTTCCCAAACCCTCGATACTCCCCCGCTTCGTCTTCGATCGTACCCCTTTGGGGGGATATATATTTCTTCCCTGCAGACCGTGCCCCATCAAGCAGCGGGGTGGCCGCGGACCGTCGGCCTGGCCAGCGGCAACGCTGATCGGCGACAACCCGACCCTAAGAGGGACGGACAGGGGACCGACTGCGACGACGACGACAACGACGACGGCGACGACGACAACGACGGGCGAAAGCGAGAGCGAGAGCGAGAGCGACAGCGGGGCCACTAAGGGCAGGAAGGGGGCCACGAAGGGCGACAGCGGGGCCACGAAGGACATTCTTATGGGGCCACGAAGGGCGCGAACGAGCGGGGCCACGAAGGGCAGATAATGCGGGGCCACAGAAGGCAATGACGGGGCCACTGAGGGTAGGAACGGGGCCACGTAGGGCAGCGAGGGGGCCACGAAGGGCGACAGCGGGACCACGAAGCGCATGCATATGGGGCCACCACGGACGCGAACGAGCGGGGGCCACGAAGGGCATACATATATTGGGCCGCAGAGGGCAAGGACGGGGCCTCTGAGGGCAGCAACGGGGCCACTAAGGGCAGCGAGGGGGCCACGAAGGGCGACAGCGAGACCACGAAGCGCATGCAGATGGGGCCACAACGGGCGCGAACGAGCGGGGAGCCACGAAGGGCATACCTAGATGGGGCCACGAAGGGCAGCGAGGGGGCCACGAAGGGCTGCAACGGCTCCACGAAGGGCAGCGAGGGAGCCACGAAGGGGTACAACGGGGCCACGAAGGGCAGCGAGAAGGCCATGAAGGGCTGCAGCGGGGCCACGAAGGGCAGCGAGGGGGCCACGAAGGGCTGCAACGGGGCCACGAAGGGCAGCGAGGGGGCCACGAAGAGCTGCAACGGGGCCACGAAGGGCAGCGAGGGAGCCACGAAGGGCTGCAACGGGGCCACGAAGGGCAGCGAGGGGGCCACGAAGGGCAGCGAGGGGGCCACGAAGGACTGCAAAGGGGCCACGAAGGACTGCAAAGGGGCCACGAAGGGCAGCGAGGGGGCCACGAAGGGCTGCAACGGCTCCACGAAGGGCAGCGAGGGGGCCACGAAGGGCAGCGAGATCCCGATTCCTAAGTAGGCTGTGAAGGAGTCCTAAGCGTGAGCGCGGCTCCTGGGTGCCTGAGTGTCGGGAGCGCGGCGCTTGAGTAAATGGCTGGGAACCCCAACGCAAGAGTCACTGGAGGGGGAATCAACGCTGCTTATACTTCAACAATGAGAGCTCAACAACAACAACAATAACAACCACAACAACAACGACAACAACAACAACAACAAGCCACAGCAACAACTAGCAGCAACAACGACAACAGCAACAGCCGAAACTACTACTACTACTACTACTACTAACTACTACTACGAAAACTACTACTACTACTACTACTGCTACTAATACTACTACTACTACTACTACTACTACTACTACTACTACTATTACTACTACTACTACTACTACTACTACTACTACTACTACTACTACTACTACGACTACTCTACTACGACTACTACTCCTACTACTACTACTACTACGACTACTACTACTACTACTACTACGACTACTACTACTACTACTACTACTACTACTACTACTACTACTACTACTACCACTACCACTACCACTACCACTACCACTACCACTACCACTACCACTAACACTACCACTACGACTGCTACTACTACTACTACTACTACTACTACTACTACTACTACTACTACTACTACTG